GGCGGCGTGGGCAGTCAGAGGGTGGAATTCTGCATCTGTTGTGAAGGCAGAGCTGTCTGGCTTTGTGTTGGGTCAGCTGTGGGGGGGAGATAAGAGGGGTCAGGGAGTCTTTGGATTCTTGGCTCTTGTGACTGGTAGGGCAGGGTCGTCCTTGACTGACAGGAGGAGACTGGGGAGTCCTCTCCGGGCCCCCATTGGGCACCGTGGTTAATGGCCTCATTCGTGCCGTACTTCCTACTTCTGTGTCCTGAGCGAGGGGCCTGGTTGGAGTGGCTTGGATTCGCGCCCAAGTCCAGGTTTAGGAATAGAGTCATTGGTGCAAACATGGCATCTAGGTGGGCAGGAGGGGCCGTGAGGGGGCAGTCTCCCCACGGGGGCTGTGTGACAGACACCGTTGGGACGGGTTCGGTACAGCAGCCTGGCTTTCCACTACTTTTAAACCTCGTGGCCTGCCACCTTCTCCCACCCCTTCTGTCTCTTTCTTGGCACTTGATACTCCAGCCACATGTTACTTGATCCAGCCCATGCCGCCATATTTGCTCCTTACAGCCTACTGTTCGCTCCTTACCAGGACACCCTTTCTCCACCTGTCTCTCTCACACTTGAGAACTCTAGGAATGGGCAGGGACTGGACTTGCAGGTTCAGAATTAGGTGAGTTCTGGGGAACACTGAAGCTGGAGAACCAGTTCTCTTTGTGTTTGGGGTGGCAAATGGGATGACAGTAATAGGCAACTAGTCAAAGACAATAGAGCATGTTTTGGGGAGCCTCAAGTTGCTCCCAAGCAAAAATAAGTAGCTCAGGAGGGACACAACAGAAATGCTTCTGGGTGGAAGTGGTCACTATAGACAGTGGATGTTCACTGCCCAATTTGATATGAGGATCCAGAAATAGAACAGAAGGTAAGAAATTCTGGTGGGACCCAGGTAGAAAGTCGTGGCTGTCAGTGTGATGGGTTGGTCAGGGCAGGCTTCCCAGTCTGGAGGCAAAGGCAGGTACTGTGGGCCAGGTAGCCAGTCGTGATCATGAGGGCAGTAATGCTGGGCCAGCCCAGTGCCTCGATGACTTCAGGACTCACCCACTGGGCATCAGGCAATAGTTCTCCCATTCTGAACATTCATGGGTTCTGATCAAGATCTCCGAAGAAAGGGTGCGCATCTTTGGGGGGCAAGGCAATCCATTTAGGCAAGAGAAGAAGAAATTAGAACTGCTATATCTGTATAGTCCAACTTCATCCTTTTTCTTTTTTATGTCTTGTAAGAGTTATAACATGCTAGTTCAGTAGTATATTTGTGGAATTTGTAAATAAGTGAATGTATTGGGAGTGCATGTTTAGAATTCCTTTTACTGATAGGGCTATGATCAAAGAAATTTTTACACCGTTCTTCTAGGAGACTCCGCATGGGCAGAGTGGAAGACTGGACCGAAGTGGCTGAACTCAGAAGACGGCTGAGATTGGAATAGGAAGGGGTCACAGGAGGGGAGGAAGATGAAATACAGTGCACTTGATTAAAGACTTGTTGAACTGCTGGGAATCCTGCAATGTACTGGCGTGTGTGAAGCAACTAGGGTTGGGGAAAGAAAGGTCGCTGGGATCCTGGTGGGAGAGAGACCTGACACAGCCACCAGCCAAGCAGGGAGGTCACTCCTTAGTTTGTCTCTTGCTTGCAGCCCCCCAGCCACTCCTAGCAGCTCCGCTTCAAGATACTTTCAAGTGAGAAGAGACAGAGAAAGGAAGCTGAGCTGGGAAGGTTTCCCAGCGGCAGAGAAGGAAAGTCTCCAAGGGCAGAGACAGGTGGAAGCTGCAGCCGTTCCAAAGTAGACACAGGGACACACACACACACAAACACACACACACACACACACACACACACACACACACACCCTTCTCTGGACACCTGGGCACAAGAACAGGAAAGATGTTTGAAGCAACAACAACGACAGTAAGGGTGTTTGAAAAAAAACAAAACAAAAACAGCTCTCCCACCCCCAGACCCACCCAGGGGCCTGCAGACCCAGGCAGACCAACACCGGACAGAGAAGCAGCCTCCCGCCCAGCCCAGCGGCAGACACGCCCAGACCACACCTATCAGAGCAGCTGCGCCAAGGCCCCCAGATTCCTCAGGAACGGGGGTGGGAGGGTAGGAGGAGGAATAGAAAGGAGGTGCCAGAGGGCGTGGAAGGAGGTCCTGAGAGCAGCCGCAGGTTCTCCCAGGGTCTCGGCGGGGCTGCGCCCTCTCAGGCGGGGAATACACGCGCTGCGATGGACACTTGCGGCGGGGAACGCGGTCTCCGCGGCCTCGGGGCGCCCCCGGGGAATAAAGTTGCAACTGCGTGGGTGAACCGAGGAGAGAGAGGACGGCAGACAACTCCCCACTCGTGGGGACAGGGCGCCCGAAATCACGTTCTGAGAGCCCTAAATCTGGGCGCCGACGAGAGGCAGGGCACAGACATGGCCTAGCGTGGACGCGTAACTCCAAGTGGTCGCTGAAGTTTTGGCCCCGACAACTCCTGGCGCGAAGGGCGCAGGCTGGGGCTTTGGCTGTAAGCGCGGCTTCACCTGGGTCTTCACCCGCTTTCTGCGGCCGCTGAGAGGGGGGCGGGTTTCGCCGTGGGGGTGTAGTTGGGAGGATCGTTGAGGGGGTTATTTGGGATCGACCAGCGTGAGGGGAGGCCTGTCCCAGAGGCAGGGAGAGACAAACCTGGAGCCATGGGGAGTGACATACAAAATTTTATTATTATTATTATTATTATTATTATTATTATTATTATTATTTATTTCTCATGTGCACAAAAAAAAAAGAAAGAAAAAAGAAAAAGAAAAGAATCAAAACGAACCGACGCGCTGAAAGTGGCCAAGGAGACCAGAGCCATCGGGGATCTGTCGAGGGTTCCGCGGGGTCCTGCCTCGGGGGGCCCTCGCCGGGCAGCCCCTGCAAAGCCTGGGATGCGCGGGCCTCGGAGTTGGAACCTCGGCGACCTAGACGCCCCGCTCCGGCCACTGCAGCCTGGCGCCGCCGGCAGTTCCCTTAAACTATTCTCTTTTCTCGTTTTCCTTTCCATACAAAAAGGCTCGAAGGGGAGAGCGATCTGGGCGAGAACTCCAAGCCTTTTGGGATTTGTTCAAGGATTTTTATTTATTTATTTTCACTTTTATTGACTTTGTTCTGTTATTTCGAGTCGTCACGATCCACGGGTGAGGAGACATGCAGGGCGCATCGCCGCTACCGAGAGAGCAACTACGGGGCGGGGCGGCCCGGCCGCCGGCGGCCCAGGGCGCGCGGGGCGCCGTCCGAGGGCCGAGCCCGCGGGCGGAGCGGCCGCCTCCCGTCGAGCCTGCGAGGACAAGGCGGGCGGGGCGGGGCGGGGACACTGGCCGGGGCGGGGGGGGCCGGGGGGGGCAGAGAGAGCGACACGAGAGAGACGGAGACGGAGAGACAGAGACGGGGGAGCAGCAGAGAGCGGTGGCGCGGGGGAGATGCGGAGGGCAGCGGAAACACGGAGTTACAGAGAAGTAGCCAACGAAACGGAGGCGAGAGGAGTCCACAGGACCATGTTCGTCATTTTGCATAGAGATTTTTCTTTCGTATTTTTTTTTTTGTAACATAAAAAATGCCCCCTCCCCCAGGACGTGCTGTGCTTTAGTGGGCGTGTAGCTGTGTCCCCCCCTCCCCCCAGCGAGCGGCGACTCGCAGCACAGACAGCGGGGCGTATCTACAGGCAGGGCGGGCGGCGGGGGCGCTACCGGGCGGGGCGGGGCGGCGGGGCGGGGTTATATACACGGGGTTCGCCTTCACTCGACACACACCGTCTTTCTACAAAGCAGCAGCCTGTTGGGTTTTTGTTTTTCTTTTTTTTTTTTTCCTTTTTGCAAAGACCATCATATTAAATAAATGCAATTTTTTTGCGGGTCCGTTCAGTCCCTGCCAGAGGAGAAGGCCAGGGGTGAGGCTGGGGATAGAGTGGGCAGCCCCCCCCCCCTGCACCCCTCCGCAGCTCAGAGCCTGCTCCTACCACCAGCAGCTCGAGGGTCTGTGCCCGGGGCAGGGGCATCAAGTAACTGCTCGGAGACGAGTGCCCGAGGCGTATGGCAACTGGTCCCGGGCCGGCACCCCGGCGCCTCCGATGGGGTGGCGAGTCAGGGTGCAGATGGGATGGGGCAGGACGGGCAGGAGGGGGCACCGGAGGTCGGCAGATGGAGGAGCTGCTGAGGTAGGGGCAAGGCGGGGCGGAGCGTCGGGCGCGGGCAGGCGCGCCCGGCACCCGGGCAGCTGATGCGGAGTAGGGGAGAGCCGAGAGTCGGGCTCGGGGGCGCGGGCTGCCGGGGCCTGCGAGCCTCGGGTCCCGACCTTGGGAAGACCTGACTATCCCTGTCCTGTCCCTAGAGCTCGGCCCCCGCGGCCTCCTCTCCGTCCACCTTCTGGGGCAGGGCGCGCCGGAAGGTGGGGCGGGCAGTCCGGCCGGCGCGGGGCGCGGCCTTCCCCCCGACGGCTGGGCGGCGGGCTTTCTCCCGCAGAAAATCGTTTTGCGCTGTTTGCCCGATCCCTCCAGCGGAGCCTCCCGGCTCCGGAGCGTCCGAAGCGGGCTGCCCGGGCGGGCCGCGCCGCAGTCCGCGCTGATTGTGTGTCACAGGAACGTGTCCCCCGCACGCCGCGGCGGGTCGGGCCGAGTCCGGCGGGGTGGCCGGCGCGCTCCGGGGCCGGCTCTGGCGAGGCCGGGCCCTCCTCGCGACGGCGTGCGGTCCAGGCAGGCGGGGAGGGGCGGCGGGCGGGGTTGGGGGCGGCGGGCCCGGGCCTGAGGGTCCCGCCCGCGGCTCCACCCGTCCTGTCCGGCCTCCGGCGGGTGCAGTGAAGGGCTGTGGGGGTCCGGGGGGGGCGGGGGGCGGTGGCCGGGAGGCGTCGCGGCGCGCCGGTCCTCCCTCCCTCCGGGGCGGGCGGTCAGACGGGGACGATGTGGAGGCCGAAGCTGTCGGCCTGAAGCTTGATGTGGTCCCCGCGGTAACTAGTGGCGGTCATAGGCAGCGGCAGCAGCGGCAGGGGCGGAGCCCCGGGGGGCGGCACTATAATAATAAGGGGAACCTGGAAGTTAACACAGGAGAAGAATGGGCTGGGTGAGAGGACAAACAGGAGAACAAAAAAGGAAAGAAAAGCAAAGCCAAGCCCTCCCCGGGCCGGGGTCCGGCGGGGGATCCGGGCGGGCAGCCCTCGCGGGGTGCAGGGCCGGCTGTCCCCGGCACAGCTGCGTTCTCGGGGTGCGCGAGGCCGGGCCTGTGGCGCCGCCGGCCGCAGGCCTTGGAGAGGGGCGCGGCGGGGCAGCGCCTTCCCGCGCGCGAAGGGAGCGGGGTGCGGCATGGGGCCGGAGGCGCGGGCGTCCTCCGGGGATCCCGGGGCCTCAGCGCTGCGCTGCAGAGCCTGCCCGGGCCGGCCCCTGAGGGTCGGGGTCGCGGGGCCTCGGGCCCGCGCGGGAAGCAGCCCCCGAGCCGGCCGGCGGGCGGACGCGCGGCCAGCCGGGTGGCGTACTCACTTAGTAAGGCGGGGTTGCTGAATCTCCAAGCCTCGTTGTAGGCCGTGTACTGGGGGTGGCTGTACGGGTTGCCGGAGAACTCACTCCCTGCGGGAGGGCGGGGAGTGGGCGTCAGACACGCACAAAGTCCCCGCGGACCCGACGCGCCGGCCGGCGGCCTCCCCGGGGTCCGGGTCCGAGGTGCAGGCGGGCGGGGCAGTGCCCTGGGCGGGCACGCGGGCTGGGCAGAGGCAGAGAATCCACCAGGTCAGCGCAGGGAGCGCCCGCGGGCGGGAGGAGCGGCAGCGAGGCCTCGCACACTGGCCTGGGGGGGCTTGGGGGTCAGCACTGTCCGGGCTCCCCGCGGAGGCGCCCCGGGCCACGCTGGGTCCCGGAGAGCCCGGCCCTGCGTTGGGGGCCAGGGCCTTTCCCTGGAGACTCGGGGTCTAGAGACTCTAGTGCACGGGATGGGAGCGGGGGAGGGCGGTGAAGCGGGGCCTTCGGGACACGTTGTCCCAGAAAGTCCTAAGAATGGCATCTGAGCGCGGGGCCGACGCAAGGGGTGGGGGCTCTGCTGGGAAACACCCCCTCCCGCCTTGCCCTGAGAGGCTGGAGACGTGGGCCGCGCGGGGGAAGAGGCGGCGGGAAGCGGGCGGCCTGCCCGCGGGTCCGCGAGCCCGAGCAGAGGGCCCGGTGGGCCGAGGGCCGTCGGAAGCCGCCTCCCTCCCTCCGCGGGAGAAAGGCCAGGCCTCAGGGTTTCCCCCTCGCCCTTTCTCCTGTGTGATGACCCCAGACTGTTTACAGTGATCCCTAACCGCGGGTTAAGTAGAGGAGAAGGGGCCCCTCTCGGAGAGGGAGCTGGGGTGGGGGTGGGGGATGCAGCCACTGGAAAGCCTGTTTATTGACGAGGAGGGAAAGCATGCGTGCAGCAGGATAATGAGCTTCTGAGCTCAACTGTGACCAAGAGGAACTGAGCTATCTCCTTCCCCATCGCTAATGAAACAAGTGTAATTTCCTCATCAGCACTAGATTCTGTTTAACGACTCCCCCCTTGCCACCATGAGCTCTCGCAGCTCCCCTCTTCCCCACCTCCTTGCAGACTGCCCCCCTCCCTCACCTCCACCTCTCTAAGACCTCCAGGCTCCACCTGCTCTCTGCCAGGGCCTCAGGAAGCCCTGTTGGCCTCATGCCTCTGCTTCCCTGTCCCCGACCCTGGGCAGGAATCCCCGCACCCACCCCACCCAGCTCTCCTTGGTCTAATTCCCTTCAGGCCTGTCCACACTCCCCTGTAGCCATCTACCTCTTCGCCATCCCCCGCCCCCAGTCCCCGGATGGATGGTCCAGGAATCAGGCCAGCCACCCTCTTCTATCTCACTCCCCCCATGGAGGCCCAGCTCTGAGGAAGGGGCACCCGGAGAGCAGCAGAGAGAGTGTGTTGCAGGCCCAGTGTCTCACCCTCTAAAATGAATGGGGTTTTGGTGGTGGTTGTTTATGTGAATAGGCACATCAACCCTCTGGCTTCAAGCTGGCCTCCCAATCCGAGGTGAAGGGTTGGGGAGAGGACAACACCCTCCCCCCACCCCGTAGTCAACAAGACCCTAAATGTGGGCTCCTCCTCTCTGATCCACGCATCCCAAACCCAACTTCTCTCAGACAAGGAATGGGTCAGAGCCCCCAGGGGCAATGAGGGTTCCCCTAAGCAGATGTGGGGGTGCTCTAGTTATATCTCTGAAGCCAGTCTCTGGTTCCTGCCATAGCCTGTCCTCATTTCCCTTCTCCTAAGGGACTAGTTCCCTCCTCTCTCAGGTGGGGCTGGTCCTCGGAACTGGTCTTCCCTGTGGGTTGGTGTGGACCAGGGTGGCTTTGTCTGAGTGACTGACATGTCCCTGGAAAGTGGCTCTTGGCTCCAAGTTTCCATGGAAACCAGGGTAGGCTCTTCCAAGCAGTGGGTTGGGGCACTGAGGGTGGAACTGAGGCTGAGTGCTCCAGGGCACAGGCTCAGAAGGATGGGCACTTTTGGGGGGCATGACATACAGTCGGGTGCATACAAGGGGGCATGTCTGCAAGCTTCCTCCCTGGGTTGCTCATGGGGACAGGGGATGAGGGACCAAATGAGAGAGATGGAATAATGGTTTTTTTGGGAGGTGATGTTGGGTTTCCCCCAAACCCCAGTCTCAGACTATAGATCACTCAGCAGCTCACCCACAATTTAGTTACCCCCACCCAAATTAGGCAGCTGCCGCATTGTCACCTACCAGGCACCATTCCTGCCAGGGTGGAGGTGGGGTAGCTTCCCTGGCCAGTGGGGGGCACGTGAGGGGGGTAACCAGGCAGAGTGGTGCTCGCCATGTCACGACCTGGAAAAACACAAAGGGGAAGGAGTGAGGCCTGGAAGAGAGGGGCCTGCCTCTACTCACACCAGGGGACTCCAGGGAAGGGAATCTCCCAGAGAGGAGAGGAAAGAGCTGTACACAGATATGTGGGGATGCTGCTGGCTGAGCAGCCCCAGATGTGCCTTTATGTGTCCCCGCTCATGAGCTGCATGTCAGCCTGCGATCAGCTGTGTGTGTGCCCCTCTGCTCTGTGTGTCTCTGTGTATTTGCATTTATCTATGTGTCTTTGTGACCCAAACCCAGATGGGGATAGGAGGGAGAGGGCCTGTTATAAAACTCCTCCTTCAGCAAGATATTCTGTAGGCGTCTCTCCAGCAGCCAAATGGATCTCTATAATCCTGCTCACCTCTCCCTAACACCCCATCTTTCCTTCAGGCTTGGACGACACCCCACTACCACCCACACAGGAGCTGATGGGTGTTTCCTGTCCCCTCCAAGTGGAGCTGCAGGTGCCAGGCCTGGCAGGTGTGGAAAGCAGGGATCCGCCAGTGCGCTCTTTTGCTTTAGTGTTTATGACATTTAAATGATAGAAAACCTTCCCTGAATCAAATCAGGAGCTTTGAGCCAACAGTGCCAGTGGATCAGATCAAGTTTCAGTAAGCAAAATCTGCTCCCCCTTCCCTCCAGCTGCTGCTGGACTTTTGTCCCTGGAGACCTCTGTTAGCTAGAGCCTGGAGGGTGGGAGGCAGAGTTTCCTTAGCAGTATCCTGGAGTGAAGGCAAAGCAAGTCCCAGGGACTATGGGAGATGCCCATGGTCCACAGACATCTCCTCTGGACCACAGCTGCACCCAAATGACCACCCTTCCTTGCCCACCCTCCATTGCTGGGAGGGGCTCACCACCTCCCTTTGCACTGAGCACGCTCCAATCTCTAATGACGATAATTGCCCTCTCCCATCTCCCACACTTCCACAGCCCCAGACTACTTTATCTTCTGAGTATCCAGGCCCCATTTAACCTGTCCAGAGACCCCTCTTCAGCCAGTGCCACTCTGCCATCTAGTGCCTCAGCCCGACCCCAGGAAGGCAAAGTGAGTCCTGACCCAGGTCGCTGTGATTTGCCCAGTCACCATCCTCTTGAAGGCTACTCCAAGATACTTCTCGCTCTCCCCTTAAAATTGACCTCACCTCCTCCTCCTCTGAGACTTGTGGGGCTTCCTCACCCCTTCCCACCTCTTCCCACCCCTTCCCACATCCATTTTCCCCTCAGTGTTCAAACAGCAGTGCCAGCCACCTGCCAAACACTTCCACCCATCGGCTCACTGGCACCTCAAAACTGACAGGAGTCAGAGGTGACTCCTCTCTCTCTTCCCCCAGTCAGTCCTGCAGACCCTCTAGAAGAACAGCAGGCCCAGAACTTTGGAGTCCTTCTCGACATGACCTCCTCCCCCCACATGAAGTCACTCACCATGTCATCAATTCTTGGCTATGTCCTGCCTCCACTTTCTCCACCACCTCCACTGCTCAGCTCCCGAGCACTTGTCCCACCACATTTTCTTGGTTTGTATATTCTGCCTCCATATTCTGACCCCTCCCCTCTCTCCCAAATGTGGCTGCTCAGCGGCTAGTCGTCAGGAAGCACGGCTTTCATCGCACCACTTCCCTTGTAAAAACCATCATTGATTCTCTGTAGTCTACAGTTTGAATCTAAACTCTGCCAGGCTTCCCGAGCCCCCAGGTCCTCTGCTGTCGCCCAACTTGCTCAGCTCTGACTGTCACCCCTCCTGGTTCAGTATGACAGTTTCACTGTTTATGTGCTGGGAAGCCTCGGTGCTTTTACCACATTGTTTTCTTCTCCTTCCTCATAGTTTCCCGCTCCTTCCAGCTCAATCCTCAACCCCCTACCATCCTATCCGCAGGGAAGCGCCTCTCCTTTAAACTGCAGTCTGTGCTGCGCGGTCTACCTGGTGGCTCGATTTCTTCCACCAGCCCTATTGTTTCACATCACGGCTCCTCAAACAGATCATAATCCGCCTCGGGCAGGGCCTGTCTCTTCTTTCTTGCATAGTTGAGAACATGATAGATGCTCAATAAATACTTGTTGATCAATTCTCTATCACTCTATTGCACTTATAGTCAATTCCAGGCAGGTTATATTGTTTTCTGATTGTTTTACACGTGTTAGTCTCTTTTATAGAGGTAAAGACAGGGACAAAATGTCAATGTTGGAACCGGCTTTTTTCTAAAAATAGTTTAAACAATGGGTTATGATTTACAGTGAGGGACTGAGCTTTATCAGACAACAGAATAAGTTTTCTCGATACCTAGCTAATATCTTACATTTCTTGAAACTCAAGAACAAACAACAGAATAGAACTGTCAAATAAGAGATCAATTCAGATCTCTAGAGAGATAGAGACAGAATCTGTGTTTGCTGCCAGAGAGACAGAAGAAAGAATCAGGTTTTCTTTTATTGACTTCTTTTGTCAATGAAAGGTACCCTCCTCCTGACCACCTCAGCAGAGTAGACCTGAAGTGGACAGTGACAGCAGTATCTCCTAATTCCTAGAGAGATGGATAATGTGGCAATTTACTGCTTGAGAAAGACCCAAGACAGGAGAGTGAAGGAAGAGATTTTGAAATTGGAAAGATAACAGAAACCCAATTCCTCCTGGCCCCACAATCTTAATTCTACAAAGCAGCCACGAAAAGAAGTATGCTTCTTTCTTAACGAGCAGGAATGTAATCATGACTGAATTCTGCCTGGTTGCCATAACCTGTCATGAACTTCTTGTACCTGAAGGTTTGTCACACCGTCCCCTGCCTAGCTTCAGGAGACAGGAAGAAAGACTGGATGATGGAGAGATGTGTCCCTCACACACTCTTTATTTCCACTGGTTTTTTCTTTCACAAAGTGGGGCGGTCCACTTCCAGCACACAGAAACTTCTGCATCCTGAAAGTCACCCACCCGACTATCGAGGCAAAGACACATCTCCAAATTCTGTTTTAAAAACTGAATCTGGGAAATGCTATGTCTGTATTTTCAGAAGGTGAGAAGAGACCCCCGATGAGGAAAGGCGCGCCAGCTTCCCGACGTTCTGTGTACAGCTGTGCTGCTGCTGCTGCAAATTCTGTAACACTCACCAAAAGAGGTACCTGTGCAGGGCCCCTGAGCCGACTAACGTACACATGACTGAATAGAAAGCACTCTCGGTGGCTTCATTAGTACACAGGTGACTCGTGGAGAGCAGGGAAAAAATTGACCAAACTCTTTGTCAGAGCCATATATTCTTCTGGAACGCCGTTGTCAATAATGGAAAACACATAGAGCAGGAAGTTTTCAAATTACTAAGACCGTCATAGCATTTGCCCAGCAGCGCTCTTGGAGCAAGCCTCTTTTGGCGAGAGACTATGAATGGAGAATGGGATCTGTGCAAGGAAGAATTGACAGAGCACTGGGTCTTGCATTACTGCAGATGGGCGGACACAGGGGTGCAGAGATGGACTTTAAAACTGTAAGACAGTACAGTCTCTTCCTTAAAACAAACAAGCAAACATTCAGAGACAGGAGGGAACAGCTACATGGCAGAACATCTCAGTTATAAAATATGCGCCATCCGACAGAGGACAGGAAGCAGGAAAGGATTTGCTTTGCTCACTGCCAATGCCAGTAACATGAAAACAGCATCAGGAATCACAAACGGATAAAAAAAATCCATGAATTATAAGCGAATGAGCATTTCATGTTGGACATTTGCTGCCTAAGGTTATAAAGTTTTTAAAGATGTCAGAGACTTTGGGATTATCGGTCTAACAGTCTGATTTTTAAAGCCAGGAAATGGAGGCATAGGGAGGCCTAATGACTTCCCGGTGACTACACAGCTAGTGAGTGATAGAGTTAAAGTTCGAAGCTCTGTCTATATTACACTGTCTTTAATGATAACATGAAGCCAGATGCTCTCAAAAGAGGCGAAGAAAAGGAAAAGAAACCTTCTGACAAGCAAAGTCTCATATTGTCAATGCTGTCATTAAGATAAGGAAGGAAAAACAGGACACAAAGAATAAAATACTGATACTGAAACTCTGTAGTAAAACTCCATGGGGTGGAGTATTAATCTCCTTTGAGAGTTTTCTAAAAAACAAAGAGGCTCTTCAAGAAACAGTAGTAGTCGAGAATCTGAAAGTACCCAGAAGTGTTAGAAGCACTGTACTTGATGAGGATGCCTTCTCAGTTCAACTGCAGAAGTCCCTGAAGATTCTAAAGCCAATTTCTACAGCAATCACTACATCTGAATCAGACAGTGCACTTTTGTCAGACATTCCTTACCAAATGGGCCAAATCAAATCAACGGTTTTGGAGAATCTAAGTGCAGTTTCTCTTACAAGTACAGAGAAAAAGCAAAGTGAAAGAAACTTTATTAAGAAATTAGAAATTTCTGTTCGTCAGATAATTTGTTATCTTGTCAAGTCTGAGAGTTAAGGACAGAGTTTGTGTTTCTACCTGCACCTGAGTTAGCTAGAATTTGCTGAGCACCTACTATATGCTAGGTATTATCCTAAATAGTTTTTGTGTATATTATCTCATTTAACCCTCATTTCAACCTAAGATGTTGATCTGTTTTTAATTCCTATTTTGCAGAACAGAAACGAAAACTCAGAGCAGTAAGTATGATGTCCAAGACTTCTCAGCTAGTAGATGGCAGAGCCTGGGCTACAGAACAAGAAGAATACTTGAGAGTTGATTCTAGAAGTCAATAGTCTAGGATTCTACAATCTCAAATATTGTAGACCCAAAAAAGATAGGTATTTGATCCAGGAAAGTAACCTGGGATTATGCTAAGCGAGTCCTTCCTATTACAGAATATCTTGTCACTTATTTTTTCTTGTATGTTTTAAGTTCTTTCATTTTCTACTGCAAGCATTTTTAATTGGGGTCATTGATCCCATAGGACTCCATAAATGCCCTTCAGAGAGTCCATATAAAGCTATACATAAATGTTACAGATACATAAATGTACAATCTC